ATTTTGATAATGTAGCTTATTCTCAGCCCAAAGCAACAAGATGATCCAATATAAGTTATGGGCTAATTGGGCTGTGCAATGCATGATGGTGATACATCTGATCAAAACTGGGCTTGTAATATTTTTGGTCATTATCAGGCCCACAATGGGTGGAATCGGTCCCATTAGAGAAAAAAGTCCGACCGAAATTAATGGACTGCGACTTTTTACCGACAAGAAACGCTTGACAAAAATTGTACTGAGAGTGCCACATGTGGGAATAAGGGCTTGGTCTGTCTCTAAAATGGGGTCCATCACACGTTCATTTGATTGAAAATTGGTTTTGGGGCACATGAGGGGGGCTCCCAGTATCATTAGACAGGATATGGTAACTGCTTTTACAACTAAGACAACATCATCTCCATGAGTTGGAAGCTATGGCCCCTTTTTTCTCCTTTTTGTTGCTCCCCTTTTATGGGAAACCATGCACTTTTGATCATTCACTCTCTAATTTACAAGTTTCAGCAGCACAGAGATTGGGGTTGCAGCTAGGGGTCCTGCTAATTGGTCATTGCCACATGTCCTTGTTTTTCAAGTGAAGACACAGAAAATTACTAATAGGAATAGAAACAGGCATATTGAGCGGTTGGAAATTTTTTTGACATTTAATGATTGATTGTACAATAAGTGTAATTACTTTCATGAGTTTTTTTTTTTATTATTTTGATTATACAATAAGAGATAACTATTTATCATCTCTTATCTCATTTTATTTCATGACATACGATTCAAACTTAAAACTTCTTATTTTCAATGGAAAGAGATAACCACTAAATTATTTAGATCATTGACATTACTTTTGTGGATTGGATTAATTAATAAACAATTTATAAAAGGATTGGTATCATCTTTAAAATAAAAAAAGTATTGCAAATGTTTTAATTTACCAAACATCATTTAGAACATATTAGAGTTAGTCAATATAAAAGAAAAGTACTGAGAAACTTGTTTATTTACCCAACAAGTATGACATGCCCTTGTGGATTCATGATTTTGTTAGCCGAAAGGTAGTTTAGTGAACTTTAGGGTTCTTTTGCCTTTCATTATTCAACATTATTCAACTTAACTTGTCATTTGCCTTTTTTCAATAAAAAAATTAATCAACTTCTCAAATTAATCACAAGTTTTGTACTTAACCCACTTGCATTGATGATTGTTTTTCAATGATATTCACATTTTTTAAGTTGT